GTGTGTGTGTGTGTGTGTGTGTGTGTGTGTGTGTGTGTGTGTGTGTGTGGGGGGCTCTGGTTTCTTCATGCTGGACGACGGGAGGGATTAAGTCGTCTGTGAACATCTTCTCGTTTATTCATCAGCGTGCTAATAGCCGTCACTCCCCGTCTCTCTCAGACTGTGCTGACTGGTTATCAGACTCTATTGATTTCATGAGAGCCCTGCGCCTTTTTTTTATTGAACAGATCGATGTCATCAATCCAGACCGGTCTTAAGTAGCTCATATCTACTGTACATATGAATCGTCAGCGTTTCTTACTCGAGGTTGTTTTGTTTCTCTTGTATGAATCTCGCTGCATTTAAAAGTCTTCCATCGGGAGCAAAAAGCTGGATTAAAATGAGGCTTCAGTCTCGTCGTGTTCTTAATTAGATCCTTAGTTTGTCTTAACGAGCTCTGCAAGGCCTCGCTTCACCGCAGCTGCTACAGTCGGCTTATTTATGTTTTTTATTTCTATAAATCGTGCGTCAGTTATATCAGAACATTCAGCCAGAAAAAAACTCAGAAAAGTGTTTTGAAAAAGAAATAACTTCCACTTAACGAAGCACTCGAACCGGGGAAAAACACAACGTCTTAGCAGTTCAGTGTTTCCCATTAGTTACCTCCACTGTGTCCTCATTTGTGCCACAGTTTCCTCATGAGCACATCTCAGTTCTTCACAGATCTAACCTCTCCATTCTGCTCTCAAAGTACACCAGATTGATGCGTTTATTTCATCTGAACCTCTCAGCGGGTCCACGGTCACCACAGTCTCCCAAAACACTGCAGTTTAACGGCATGTTATCTAGTCTGAAGTAGCCTCGAGGACATGAACTGTGATCCGTGCTCTCTGGTCGCTTCGTCAGCAGTCGACGCAGAGAAACTTTGTTTGGAAGTTATCGCTCAGCACCTGTCGAGAACTCTTGAAGTGAAAGATGTAAAGTATGGTTTCTCTTTGTCTTCTCATTGCAGACCAGCTGTGAGTATTAGTAGGCTCACCGCCCATAGGAGCATGATAATGTACTCAATGTACTTAATGTACTTACTGTACTCGCTCTCATTCTCCAGTTTCATGCCCTGACGCACAATGACCTCCCTCTCAGCTGAATAATGTGCTCTCCTCTCGGTCTCCATCACTTCCTCTTGACCACTTTGTCTTTCATTTTTACCCGTGTGAATAATTCTCTCTACCTCCCTTCTCTTCTTCTTCTAATTGACTTCCTTTCTCTCTCTAACACGGTACATTCCGACTGCCTCACTCCATCTTCACTGAACATAATGGAGAGTAAGAGCCGAGTGGAGCTCATTATAGCAACAGCCCGTCTGAAGTGGCCGTCCTACAGTGGAGTTGTCAAAACTCTGCTTCAATTACAATAAACTGTGCGTCTCCGGCCGGCGCTTGCGGAGCCAGAGTGCCGTTAGGTCGGTCCGCTGAGGATGCTGGGAGATATTAGATTTGATCATAATGACAGAGGGTTTATTGAGGGGCAGTGATTACATCCATAACAACGAGCCTCATCAGAGCTCCAGTGTGGCTCTTTCCTCTGTTCTACCATTAACGGTAACACCAGGCCACTAGTTTGTAATATCAGATGAGCTCATTATCTAACTCTGGACATCTACAATGAGGCAGAAACTAACATGTTGATTAATGTGCTCTGTACCTGGTGAATATATAAATACATACAGTATCCCACGAGGAAAGAGAGGGAATGATATTCATCATGTTTGTAGATATGATATGAAGTATGAAGTAAATGTTGTTTGTACAATGTAATGGCGATAGAGTAATGACACCGTTGGGGTTTGGGTTGGTTCCCTATAAGCTTTTATTCTGTCTATCATCGGGTATGATCTCCCTGAAAAGGACACAAAGCCGTGGAAAACTAAACCAGTTTGTCGTGGTCAGTGGTGCCAACTGTGTCCCAATGAAAGTATCTTCCACTCGCTCAGACGTGACTGAAAGCTGCTGCTGACTCTGAGCAGCATGGGGACTTAATTACTATACAATATGTTTTAATATATTTCTGTATCACTGTTCAGGGGCGATGAGTTTACTTCTTTTATATTTAGTTTATTCACAATCGAGCCACAGCAGGAACACAACCACGCTCTCCCACCTTCCCTCGTTCTCTCTCTCGTCTCTCCCACCTTCCCTCGTTCTCTCTCTCGTCTCTCCCACCTTCCCTCGTTCTCTCGTCTCTCCCACCTTCCCTCGTTCTCTCTCTCTCTCGTCTCTCTCGTCTCTCCCACCTTCCCTCGTTCTCTCGTCTCTCCCACCTTCCCTCGTTCTCTCGTCTCTCCCACCTTCCCTCGTTCTCTCTCTCTCTCGTCTCTCCCACCTTCCCTCGTTCCCTCGTTCTCTCGTCTCTCCCACCTTCCCTCGTTCTGTCTCTCTCGTCTCTCCCATGCTGCTTAGCGGTGGGCGGGCGGGGCAGTTGTCCATCTGTGTCGTTCAGATTATTGCAGGAGAATTTTAATTCTGTGTGTTGATGTTCCCAAACTCCTCTTTTGTCTCTGCTTATTAACCCTGTGGTGTAACCCCCCCACCCCCACACACACACACACACACCTCCCTCAGTGCTCTGCTCTTCAGCCAACTCTCTTCTCTCTTTTCTTGCTCCCAGTTCTTCCCCTCTTTTGTTTTTCATTATCAATGCCCCGGCAACCACCAACCACAGGTTTGGCAAAAATATAGAAAGAGGACATGAGACGAGGTGTGTGTGTGTGTGTGTGTGTGTGTGTGTGTGTGTGTGTGTGTGTGTGTGTGTGTATCCAGCTGTTTGATCAGTGCTGGCTGACTCTCCAGTTTAATATGCATCCAGTTTTCTTTCACCTCTTTCTGCCTCCTTCTCTCCATCGGTCTTTATTTCCTCCTCTTATTATTTTCCTCGTCTGTTTTTATCTACGAGCACATTTCTGTTTTTGGTTCATCTGTCTTCTTATCATTCTTCTACTGTGAGAAAGTGAAATGAAGTGTTGTAATGTGGACTTTATTCACGCCTCCGACTTTAAACCAGCACTTTTATTTTTGAACACAGAATGAAATCATAGAAACACAAGTTTCTTGAACGTAGTTTGGACTTGAACGTAACCGGTGGAAGTCCTTTGCGGACCTCACAGTATTTGTTTTCAGTGTAAACACGCTGTATTATTTCTGTTTGTCTCACATCTCTTGTGTGTGTTCATGTCACAGTCTCCCACCAAAGCTGTGTACAACGCCAGACACTGGACGCTGGAGAGCGAAGAGGAGGCCCCTTCAACTTTCTTGGCACGATCACAGACGGCTCCTGTAAGTTTTGAGAGCTCGCTACAATGGAGTAAAAAGGTTTTCACGTTGCATATGCAGCTCATAAAACGTGTTACTTCCACATCATCCCATCTTACCAGGCGCCCGTCTCAGCGGGAGGATCTGGTAAGGAGCCCGCCGATGCTAAGAAGGACGACGGGGTTTTTAAGGCTCCTCCCCCTCCGCCCAAAGTCACCAAATGTGTCACCCTCCCCACTGACCTGTACCAGGACACCATTACTGCACTCAAATGCCGCAAAGAGCACAAGGAGGTAAGAAGTTTCTCTTAACCGAAAACAACATACTTCAGTTGTCCATCCTCTGATGTTTGAGGGACTTTTGCATTTTTATTCATTTCACTTAATACACATTTAACCTGCAAATGTACCTGAAGCTTAAAACAGAAATGCATAACAATGGACTTCAGGTATTAAGTCATCCTGGTGTAATTGAAACGTTTCTGGTTCAAATCCACCTGGACCTTTGTAACTTGCCTTCTCCCACATTCCCCGTCACTTTTTTACAAACTACATTTTGGACATATTCCACTTATCCACCCCGCCCCTCTGTTTTCCAGCTGTATACAGTGGTCCAGCATGTGAAGCATTTCAACGACGTGGTGGAGTTTGGAGAGAACCAGGAGTTTACCGATGACTTTGAGTACCTGGCTACTGGTCTGAAGAGTGGACAACCTCTCAACACACGCTGCCTTAGGTAAGAACGCTGCAACAACCACTGTACCCTCTAAAGTGCTGCATTTTTATCACCATTTTCTGATGTCGTGTGTGTCTTTTTGTGTGTTTCTCCAGTGTGATCAGCCTGGCTACGCGCTGCGCCATGCCCAGCTTCAGGATGCACCTCAGGGCCAGAGGGAAGGTGGCTCAGGTCTTCAAAACGCTCAATGACGCCCCACAACACCCGGTAAGGATCGGTCGCTACAGATGAACCAAGCGCACCTGCAGTTCACTCTTTACAGTAATGACTGGAGAACAACAAGAGCAGGAATAATGCCAGTGTTTCATATATATTTTAGTTAAATCGATCATGACACCTGACATATAGCTCGTGTTTTATATGCTACAGAATGCTGTTAAAGGCTTAAACAGATTAGTGAGTGAAGGTCTGAGGGAGCTTCAGTTCAGAAGCCTCAATATGTTCCTTTAAGCCAACGACGGTGGATGTTGCTCAGTGGACGGAGCGGGTCGTCTTTTGGTCACGAGGTTGGCGGTTCGATCCCCGGCTCCTACGGTCTGCATGCCGAGGTCTCTCGGCGTGTCTCCCCGGGCGCTTCACAGCCCTGTTCCTAATGCTTACTGCTTACTGTCATGAACTCCTTCTCACTCATCTCTGCAGAACCTGGCTCTGTGCACGGCGTCTCTCATGTACATCCTCAGCAGAGATCGGTTGAACATGGATCTGGACCGCTCGTGTCTGGACCTGATGATCCGGCTGCTGGAGATGGACCTGGACCAGGACCAGGGGGGCGGGGCCTGCACAGGGACAGACCCTGACCCCACCACTCAGTTCAGCGCCAGAGAAATCGCCAAGATGAAGGAGAAGATCAGGAAGCTCTGCGACACGGTGCACAACAAGCACCTGGACCTCCAGAACATAACGGTACTGAGCGGATCATTAGAGACTTCTTCTCACTGGATCAGCTTAACACCATGTACTCTGTGCTGCCTGCTGAGCAGTTTGGAGCGTTGCACCTCTCCCTCTGACTAATGATACTCTTTCAGTCGGGGTGACTCGCTGCCACCCACATGTGTCAAGATATTTCTATCTTTTGTGCTGTAAAACATCCACAGTAAATATCAGCTTTGGGTGTTCGTCTCTTACAATCAAAGAGGGAAGGTCTCCATGGAGCCGCCATTTTATACCAGCGTTCAACAGTCATGCCGTCTGAAATCTATCAGAGAGAACGGAACCCAACTCCTGTGACGTTCCTCACATTCAGTTACTGAGACGTGACCTGTTTAACTGTGTGAGCTGATCAGACCGTTAACGTTTAAGCCTTTTTGTCCCTCCTCTCTTCCTGTAGACGGGTCATTTAGCCATGGAGACGTTACTGTCCCTGACTTCAAAGCGAGCCGGAGACTGGTTCAAAGAGGAGCTGCGACTACTGGGAGGACTGGACCACATCGTAGATAAAGGTCAGAGATATTATTTAGACCGTGTGATGACTCCAAATAACAGAGATCACGATGCCTGTGGTTTCTGATTGCGTCTCCCTGTTTTTGTTCCTCCCTCCACAGTGAAGGAGTGTGTTGACAACTTGAACCAGGAGGGCGAGAAGGAGAAGATGGTGTCGTCTCTGTGGGGAGCTGAGAGGTGTTTACGGGTGTTGGAGAGTGTAAGTGCATCACAAACTAGACCCAACGAGGGTCGTGTTTAGGTCCAGACTGCAGAGAACTCAACTACATCTTTTAAGTCCGTAAATGAAAGAACAAGATGTGAACCAACAGGATGCAACACCAAATAGTTTCACGTTTAAATCGACACAAGAAAATATAATAATGTGCGTACCTGTAACCTGTTACACTACTGAGTGGTGCCTGCTTTGCTGGGAGGCACAGTGACGTCTTTTGTTCCTGATATCATTATAATATCTGTGATCAATTTATTTTTATTTTTATTACTGTTCACAAGATGAATACCAACGGTGGAGTTAAAGCATCCTGAAGATCACGAGTGGAACAAAAACTGGAAAAGAAAAAATAATTCTTCTTTGTGTGCACATGCAGGTGACGGTCCACAACCCAGAGAACCAGGGCTACTTGATCGCCTACAAAGACTCATCCCTCATCAACTCCTCTGCAAAGTGAGCACTCACACACACACTCACACTCTCTCACACACACACACACACACACAATCTATCGTGTGAAGCAGTCTGAGTCTGTATGCCTGATGGGTATTGTGTGTGTCATTATCAGGGTTTTGTTGTTTAATTTCCTGGTCGTGACATTCTGTCAGTCACAGAAGTGACCTTTGCCCTCTGACATCAGCCGAAAAAGAGAGGGAGAGAAAAGTCCACTGTGGAAATGACCTGACCCGTCTGTCTCTCTGTCTCTTTCTCTCTCTCTGTCTCTCTCCCTCTCTCTTTCTCTCTCTCTCTCTCTTTCTCTCTCTCCCCTTTATTTTTTTGTTTCTGCCCTCCAGTGTTTCAGGCACATCTGATTCGATTCATTTAAGAAAGAAAATCCGTCACTTTCAGAGCTGGTTCACCTCTTACTCCCGTTATTTCCTTTTTCCAAAACAGTTGTAAGGACACCAGGAGCAAATGCCAGGAGTTGAGTTTTCATCAAAACAGCATTATGATCATGTTTTATCCGTTAACTACATGCCTAATGAACCAGAGCACACAGAACAGTGTCATCGCCACATAAAACACACCGGAGCTACGTTACATCACTTACAACTTCGCGCAGAACAATGAGGATCTGTTTTAACCCAATCACCTCTGGAATCAGTCAGCACGTTAGCGTGATGCTCACTTCCTACGTTGATGCCCTTCACCTGTACCTGCTCTGCTCTGCTCTGTGTGGAGAGGCTCGGCCTCGAGAACAGAAGATATTAATGATCACGTGACATTAAAGGAGCGATGCTGAATGAACGTAGAAACACTGACATCTACGCGGCTGAAGTTATACATCAACCTTAACAACGCAGATATATCTGTATCAAACGTGTCGTATGATGAGAAATGACTTGGATACGTTTGAGGTAACGTGTCTTCAGGTCAGTTTGACCTCTAGAGAGCTGATTATTAACTGTAAGATGTCCCACTCGTTTATTCATCACTGTTCTGTGATCACCACATTTCTTGTGTGTGTTATATGTAAACGGCGTCGGCCTCATAAATACAGTATCAGTGGAAACGCGTCGTTACTTTACCTTCTCCTCCTCCTCCTCCTCCTCCACCCTGTGACCGGACACAGGGTCTGCAGTGAGGGGGGGGGGGGGGTCAACAAAGAGCTGCTGTTTCTACGGGTGACGCAGGCCTCAGTCTGAGCGTTCAGCTGTCCTCTCTGTTAACTCGATTAACCCCCAAAACCACAGGGTGAGAGAGCGAGCACTGACACACACACACACACACACACTGGAGCTGTGTATTCATGGAGGACTCCGGGTCTTCTTCCTCTATCATTTACTCTTTTCCTCCCTCTTCACTTTTCTCTTCGTTACCGCACACGCTGCTCTCATTGTTTCAACGCAAACTCACCCGTCTGCCTCTCTGAATTAGTCCTGCAGACAGCTGAAATACTCAGTTATCCACACACACACACACACACACACACACACACACACACACACAC